AGTGAAAGTCACTAGATGGCAGCATTGCAGCTCATTTAATTAATCTATTTTAATAATCAGGGGATTTCATGCAGAATTTGGACAGTTTGGACAATATGGACATGACACGGATATCGACAAAAAGTTAATATCCGACATCCCTAGATTTTTGGTCCAACATCAACATTTTGGTCAAACTATTTTGAGAAAAAAAAAAAAGACGTGGGGCCAAAGCTTGGATCTCTGTTACCATGAACATATCTGGTCAGTGAGACTTGATCATCATTTACAGAGATCATCGTGAACATACCTCATACTTGCACTGGGTGTCTTTCTTGGCTCCCTCCACATCCAGCATCAGTGCCCAGGCTCTGCCTCTGAGCTGCAGAGGAATTCCCTTGTAGACCCGTTTCACCATCTGACAAACACGGACAAAGAGTGACAGACAGATGGAGAAAGAGTGACAGACAGAGAGAGAGAGGAGGAAGAGAAGAAGAAAAGCTGCTCACTCTACAGCACCACCGCGTGACAAGAATATCAAAACTCTCTCTCTGAATAGCAGCACACACAACGTCGCTCTCTCGCTGACGTGTTTGTTGAAAATCTGCCACCATCGTAAATCTGAATGAGAATTTTCAACTACGTGGTGCAGAAACAAACAAAAAAAAAATTCTGTTCATTTTCTGTATGGAATTTGTGGTGGGAAGTTATGCATTTCCTCATGGGAGAAACATCTGGTTCTTCAGTTTGTAAACACTGTGGACGGTGACTCACCCTGTCACTGCTCTTGTATTTATCCCACTTCTTCACCATCTTCAGCCACTTCTCAGCTCTGGCGACCTCCAGCTGCTTCAGCTGTGGAGGAGGAGCAGAGGAGACAGGAGAGTCAAGCATTAATGTTTTATAAACAAAACCAAAAAACTGGAAAGAATCAAGAAAATCCTGAAAATGGCAATGGAATTTGAACCTGAATGGACAAAAACAGAGGTTCAAAACTCCAGGCTTGGGGGCCAATTCTGGCCCACAAAACCCCCCCAGATCAGGCCCAGATGTTAGACATAATTTAATTTGGCCCTTGAGGCAATTTTTGAATTTTATTTTTAGTTTGAGAGTGCTGGGATAAAAGGATGGAAGAAGGAAATTACGGTAACTTCAATTAACAACTGGAAGATATCGTATTTTTCGGACTATAAGTCGCACTTTTTTTTCATCCTTTGGCTGGGTTTGTGACTTATA